AAATTAGCGTGTTAAAAAATGAGGAGGGAATATTGGAATAGGAACACCAGGCTTCAATGGAGTCAAAGGGATACAACAGATATTTGTGTTTGTTGGAATTTTTTTTTTATGGCAGCAGTATTTGTTGATGTTTATTTTTCTTCTCTTCAGTAGAACTGTGTTTGTTAATAATGCTAATAATAAAACATCCACAACCAATGTGAGATTTGCCAAATTTTCAAAATTGTTGCTAAATTGAAGAGAAAAAAAAAAGATTTCTATCTTTTTTCTTCCTTTTTTTTTTTTTTCCTTTTTAACTCTCCCTAAACCCACAGCACCAGGTGTGAACTGGCAGCACTTCCACAGTGACTGCAGCCACCAGGAGTTCAAACACACCTCCTGGCTTCGCATTGTCAGCTGCAACAATTATTGCAAATGAACAGACATCACAAACAAAACAGAAGCCCAACCCTGCTAGAACCTACTCACAGATGGACAAATTTGTTATTGTTTTCACGATCTTTTGCAATGTGTTTGCAGGTTTCTACAGCCTTGTTTAAATTCAAGCAAGGACCTTTTTGCACCAACTTTGCAGGATTTCATTTGTGAGTTGTACATTTAATTCTCCACAGCAGATGGTGATGTGTGGGTGTACCGCTGTATATTTGCAACAGATCCCTTATCCTACAAAATTAATTAAGTGTCTCATGTGCTGATTTAAAATCAGAATTGCATTGTTTGTAAAAAGCTAATTCTTGCATATCATTTTGCTGGGACTCGTGCAACTCAGGCACAGTGTAAGAGAAGGCTCAGTGCTCCTCTACAGCACATAGCAGTGCTGCCAGTCCTGTGTGCAGTCTGAGAGCTCGAGATCTCAGTGTTTGTTACTGAAATAGATGTCCTTATTTGATAGTCTTGTGGGGTCTGATAGGGTGCTGTGGTTTGTGCAGCTGCTGCTGGCAGGAATCCTGGCTCCTCGTGGCCCTTGGTGCAACACTGATGGCTTCTGGGGTAGAATCCTGCACTGAGCACATGGTGTGCATTAGGTGTGAGGGACAGAAGGAAGTGGCCGTGTGCTGTACGTACATGGGAGCAAGCAGCAGGAGCTGGGGCAAGGCTGGTGATCCCACTGCTGTGATGGAAGGAGGGCACTTTGTTGGGGAGCAGCTCAGGTAGCAGACTCGGGATTTTGATCTTTTGCTACTTCAGTGGGAAATAATTTGTAGCCTCTTAACATTTAAAATTTGAGTGAAATTTAATACAAAATAGTTCAAGCTCTTTAAAATGTGCTGGCTGTTTACAAATGTGATACAAGCTTGTAGATGGCAAAATGTCAAGCTTTGTGTGAAAAGCAGCTGCTTACGTGTGTGTGTTTACATCCTCTTCCCAGTTATTTCTGCTGAAAGGGCATTTCAGAAAATTGCTAATATGATGATAGATGAACCTGACATCGGATGTGGTTGGCTTAAGTTAATTGGACCATGTATCTGTCCCTCTGTTTGCCTTCCTTCCTGCAGCCCTTCTGAGTGCATTTACAGGCTCTCTGAAATGTGGGATATGAGAAAAGGAGCTCCAGAAGCTCGGTGACACCTCAGTGGGTCAGTCTCTGTGCTCCCTGCACGCAGTGTTTCTGCTGATGGCCTCAGCTGTGCCTGTCACACCAGTGCATGTGGTTCTCGTGCAGTGGCAGTGACCCCTCACCACCCCTGGGATCACAGCGATTGCTCAGCATTGGGCTGCAGTGGCTGCACGCCCTGTGAGGTGTGTGTGGGTTTTGCTTTTTGGTTCCTTCCAGCAGCTCTTGGTTTGCCCACTTCAGAACCTACTGAAGCTCGGCTGCATTGTCTCCATCACTTCTGGGTTTCAGAAGTCAGTTATTTTTAGACTAGAAATACTGGATTAGCCTGAGACAGCAAAGCTTTTGTAATGTTCCGGATTTGATCTTTCATTCTGCTCCCAATGAACAATGAATTACTGCTGTGCAGTGAGCCTGGGCTTTGAGCTCCTCAGGGCAGGGAACGAATCTGCCCAGTCCTCGCTCGCTGACCCGGCTGTACCTCACCTCATCGCGGCCACTGAAGGGGACGTGCAAGGTGACAGCCCTGCCTGCTCCAAGGGATGGCAAAACGGGACAGTCCCCAGGGCCTTTCTGTCTTGCCCCCACAACTGAGCCAAGTGCTCAGTAACACTGGGTGAGGCAGGGTGCATCCAGCCCCTATGCAGTGCCAATGGAAGCAATTAATGGTATGAGGAATGAGTCTGCATGTGACAGAGCTGCTGCCATAGCACTGGAAGCCAGGCTCCCAGAGCAGCAGCTCAGGGCCCTCCCACCACCAGCCCCTGCCCACCCTCACCCCATCCCATCCCACCCAAGTATAGCACAGAGGGAAGCACACTCCAACCCCCCAGGTGATTTTCCATTTAGGCAGCAGGCTCACTAATTGCACAGTGATTACCCTTTCATGAAAGGAATATAAAACTTGATTACTTTGAGTGAGTGGTAGGGAGCAGTGGTTTGGAGCAGAGCCTGTGTTTCAGTAGGAATTCCTGGATCTGCTCAGGCAGGATGGATGCAGGCAAAGGCACCACCTGTAGCCCCTTCTATGCAGCACGCACAGGTGTACTGCTCTCCTAAAGCAGATCAGGACTTTACATACCACAGCCATGACACCAGAGGCTTTTTGCTTTTCTTAAACAGGCTTTTGTACAGCTCCTGTAAGAGTGTTTATGAGTGCAGTACACTACATGGACACCTTACATCAAGAAGATGCTGAAGAACAGCAGCTGAGCCTAAAATGGATTTAAGGAAATTAGGCCCTTTCATAGTCAACATCAAAACCCCCAGAGCATAAACAGGCTCCTGCCTTTACCAGCCTGCCCCATGCTGCCTTCTCACTGCTGGTCTGGCCTCGTGAGGTACACAGCAGAAAGGAGGGAAAAAAATAAATCAGGTGAAGGGAACAGATGGTGTGGTGTACCTGGTGGCATTCTATTACAAGCACTACTGCCTGGGTAGGTTTATTTTTTAAAACAAAGTAAGTTCAGATAAAAAGAACTGGACTGGTGCATGTTAAAGCCCTGAAGTGTACACCTGATCGAGAGATGGGTAGATCAATGGAAGGCATACTTCAGGGCCAAGTCTTTAAACAGAGCCATTGCTTCCTGTATTTCACAGCAGAGAAGGGGCAGATTGAATAAAGCAAGCCGTAAATTTAAGAACCAACTCATGCTAGGGCCTGAAATTAATTATTATAATCAACAGGGTAACTTAATCTCACAAAAACACGAGTTTATTAATAGGTGAAGGAGCTGAAAAATTGCACAGTCCATCCAGCCCACTGATACTTTTCCTAATCTGTTACGAGATTCAATGCTGCAGTTTTACAAGGTACACATTCTCAATTAGTGAATGTTACATAACATAAACATGAAGTGAATATCTGCATTAATGGGATTCAAACAAGTCAACTGAAATATCAACTGTTATAACATGGTGAAAAGAATTAAATTGGGAATGTGGTCACACACTGTTGTACAGCAATATGTACACTGTTTCATCTCACGTGACATTCACAGCCTGGTCATAGAAAAGTCAAACTAAATGACTTAGAAAATATTAATGCTGAAATTCTCATTACTTTTGTTTCAAGTTGATATTGACTGAGTTCATATTTTCATTGTGTAAAAACATCGTATATGGTAGAAACCCTTCAGCATCTCCCACATTCAAATAAAGGTATTGAATCACAGTTACAATTTGGTCTTTGGTGTCAAACATCTTAAATGGCAGATTCCTCCTTGCCTTCAGAAGGAGATAAAACAAATATAACGAATATTCTTAGTCTGGTCCCACCAAGACATTCGTCTCTGAGACCTTGCTTCAGAGATCAGACTAACATCTCCCTCATGGAAGGTGTGGCTGGGATCACTACGACATCTGAACACGGTTAAAAATGTGGAAAGTCCATAGCCATTCTACACACTTTCATTTATTGTCTGGACAATTAAAGTACAAATAATTCAAACACAACAAGGTTATGAAAAAAACATTTACAATACTTTCCCTCAGAAATGATCTAAACTAGCAAGGTTAACATGAAGTCATTCATTATAACTAAAGTATACAACTGCCTGGTCCTAAGAAAGATTTTTTTAAATTATTATTATTCAGATAGTAAAACACATTGTAGAGAAAAGATTCTGACATGCCTTCCCCACTAATGCTTAGCAAATGCATCAAAACTTTCCCAGCAAACTGCGCTCATTCATAGCAGATGATGTATAAAGGTTTCCCTGAACATTGAATGAGTGTTCCTTTAAACTAAAATCTAACATTGTTAAAGTAAAAAACTGATAAAATTATGATGCAGCCTTTGCTTTAGTTATTTGTCTACTACAAAAGTTTGCCTCTTCAGTGTGAAAAAACAATACTTAGTCTACATGCAGTTAGTGGGTATAGCATGGAAAAAATGCACAAAATAAGCACAAGTTATAAATAACCATAACGTTTTATTACCATTAAGACTAAACTTGTATTGAAAAGATTTTATATAACAAGACAAGAAAAGCAATAGCAAATTTAACTATCAACTAGATTATGCATAGCGAGTAACTGTTTCTAGTACTCAGGGAAGAGCATGACCCTTTTTTGTTTTAAATATATAACCGTACAAAGCACAAACATACTAAAATGATCAGTGCACTGGACATGGGAGAGCACCCCCTCAGTCATTTTGTTCCCTTAGCTCTGTTTTCCCCAATCTGAATTACATTAAAATAAAGACCCAGTTGTTTTCTTTTCTACTGTGCAGTAAGAAAAAATATTCACAACAAACATGACAATATATCAAACAATATTTCTACACAAGTTACCTTGATACCTCTGTCACTTAAGTATCATAAGAAAACATTTTAAGACATATACAAACAAAACTAGCAAAGTGTTACAACTTATAATAAATTAACCAAAAGAAAAAATAACTTTATATATATATATATTTATATTATATATACACATACACACACAACAAAATGACACAATAATATGCTTCTTCCCATAGTTTAAGTAAACAAATAAGTAGACTAGCCAAACTAGCTATATTTGATTTTGGCCATATGCATCACATCGGCAATTAAATAAATAAGTGTTTCAAGCAACATAAACAGTGTTCCAAATGTGCCAACACAGCCCAATTATATTAGCATGGGCTATAAAGTGAATTTGAAAATTCTTAACAAATTTAAAGCAAATGTATTCTTTCTAAACACATTACATTTAACTATGATACTAAGATATGTAAATAATTTCGTAGCACCTACTGCTCAAACCAAGGAAGTTTTTGATCAAAATTAAGTTTTTTTCTTTTTTTTAAACTTTTGTTCTGCTGATATCCCATACTGATGACTTAAAGAAAAACCATCTTGCAACTCATCTCCTTGCTTTTGGGTTTTGACTGTGGGTAACTGCGTGCCTGGGAAGAACACTCTCCCGTACTGTATTTAATATTTTTATTACATGCTATGAAAAGATACGAAGATCATCTGTTTGTAGCCCATCCTTCAAAAAACAATCTACTAATCCAGTTTAAAACACACATCTTGATCTCTAAAAAGTTACCAGTGCAGTATGAACATGACAAAGTTGTCAATTTCCCCTAAATTAGCCAGTCAAAATATTTTTTCTCAAATCCAGATTCTCTTGTAAAAATTCTTTATATTTTATAAAAATAGATTTTTCTTGAAACCCATTTTCAGCAAAGAGACCACCTCTTTGGCAACATTGTTAATGTTATTTAAATTGTTATGTCATCAGGTATCCCCCTCTACCCCATTCCCTAACAGAAGACTGTTTAGTTCACATGATATAAAAGAAAAGGAAAAATAAAAAAAGTTGCAAAATTATGTTCTTCTTTTTGCAATTTTTATTGTTCCTCTTTAATTTACCAGGGGGGTTTACCAATCTGATTAGATCAATGTTTTCAAAAGAAGAAAAGAAAAGAAAAATCTTTTTTCTCGCTTTTAATCCCATTAGTTTGTAAAAATTGTTTTTGTTTTCTTATTTTTTTCAAATGAGTGAATGGTCATCTTAAAAAGACCCACCTTCAAGGAAGGTAGTAAAACTAGCTGGCCGGGTAAAAATCCCTGCACATTGTTATCTATGTATATTATATTCAACAACGACAGCTATGAAAGAACATTCAATGCATCAAAGGTTTTTTTTTTTTTCTAAGCATTATAAAATCCTTTCCTGTTCCTCACAGGATATCCAATGTTTTAATACTTAGGCAACACTGGCTTATAAAGTCCATGGTTGAATATAAGCCTTGAAGAGTTTTTTTTGTTTTGTTTTGTTCGTATATATATTTATATATATATATTTTAGTAAGTAAGGATATGAAATTCAGGATTTGTGGGTTTTATTGGTTTTAAAGGAAACTTGCAATACTCTGTCTCCTAAACGGTATCCATTAAGGCTGGCAATCGCCATGGCAGCTTCGTCGTAGTTGGTCATGGTGACAAAGCCAAATCCCTTGCACTTGTTGGTGTTGAAATCGCGGATCACCTTGACGTTATTGACTGCTCCGAAGGGACCAAACAGCTGCCACAGCACACTCTCATCTGAGTCGGGAGACAAGTTGTAGACGAAGATGCACCATCCAGTTCCAGTGTGACCAGGGATATTCATTCCGACAAGGCTCGTCATACCATCAATTGTGATCGGGGAGAACCTACCAAGTAAAAAGAGGGGTCTATTCTAAATATATCTCTTGGTACAAGCTACACGGAACCAAGATTTCAAGGTAAATAACTGGGTATTAACTTAGGTTCTCAATCCTATCCCTGGAAGATTACCACTTATCAGCCTGGGTCTCTAACTCCTCTACTAGATAAAAAAAAGACTGAATCTGGGCAAAAGGGCTTTTCCCTTCAAGGATAAAGCCAACTGAAATGTTATAAACATCCAGAAGTTTGTCCTTAGCATTTCTTTCAAGTCAAATATCGTCTTCACATTCTGCTTAAGAAGGTCTGGAGGAGTTTCAGAGCGATGGAAAACTAACGCTTTGCTTTTAAGAAGTTTGCCGTGCAAAAAACAGAGCCTTCAAAGTTTAACTGAAAGAGTAACATGAAATACTTTGAAATACTGTTGTCAGGATTCACCTGTACCAGTAACCTCTTTTGGTTGAACGTACTATCAGACAGCTCTGGAAGTGGTAGATTTTAATTCTCCCCTCACAGCCCTTATCTGACAAACTGGGAAAAAAATCCAGTTTAAGAAGTCCTAAAGCCAGTCAGCCAAATATACAAAGATTTTATGCAACAATCACAAAGTAGAAAAGTCCATCAATGTAATCAGTGGGCATGTCACTAATACCTTCATACTGTGAGACTCCATGTCCATAGCAGGATCTCAGGCTCTTCAGATAGTCAATGGAGAGAGAAACAAGCTCCTGGAAATCTAACAGAACTCCAAGCTCCCTGCACTGCCTTTTAGGGGGCTGTTGTGTTTATCTGAACATGTGAACTAGAAAGCTGAAGCCAGGTGATGTGTTCATGGACAAAGAACTGGCACAGATAAGCACAGATTGGGCAGGACCTATGGAGGACATCTGAACAGCCTTCCTTCTGCTTGAAGCCAGACTAAATGGAGTGAGACTGGACCTCACCCACAAAAGGTTTTGAAGTCTTCAAGGGTGAGAACTTCACATGCAAAGCCTCTGCTATGGGTTTGACCATCCTCGCTATTCACAATTCTTCCCATACATCCAGTTGAATTTCCCCTTGCTGCAGCCTTTTTCTGTTGACTGTCGCCCTTCTGCAACCTCTAAGAGCTTGGTTTCATCTTCTTTTTAATGCCCTTGCAGGTATCTGAAAACAGCAGTCAGGGGCTGAATTTTGTATTTGCCTTTCCTGAATTTCAACAGGTTCCTCCAGCTCAAAGTTATCCCAAAAGCAGCCACAGCCAACAGCACAAGAACTGCCCCCACTCCTGCACCACACCAGTGCTGCCCAGTTACAGGGAGGTGTGCTGCAGCCTGTGACTCAGGTTATTAATGAGGATGTTAAGCAGTATCAGCCTTCAGGATCAACATAATTTTCCCTTCAAGAGTTTGAAAAAAATGACATGATTTCTGAAGCTACACTTTGGGATATGTTTTAAAATGATAACTGCACAGAGAAAAAAGTCTTAATAAAAACCCAGTTTCACACCAATTCAATGATGAGTTTTAATACCAAAACTGAATAATTATTCCTCAGGATTTTGAGTGAGGACTGAGGGAATGGAGGGCGGCACTCACAGCATCACTAAGATGCTCGTTCATGCTCCAAGACTTCTTTCATAATTCCAATGTTTCCACACCCGTTTTGCTATCCACACATTATGCAGTGCATACTTCATAACTATAAAAGAAACTGCATACTTGATGGCTGCTTCTTTTGACTCCTGATGGCACTTAATACATATATTTGAGGAGAGTAGATGCTTGGAATACACATTTGGAGCTGAAGAACATCACTGGGGTATTGCTACACTATAAATGAGCAGTTTGCAAACGCTCACAGCCTCGGATCCTCAGACATACACAGACGTTTGTAAAAACAGCTTATTAAGAATAAATGACAGTCTTCCTACTGAACTTCACTTTTCACAAGTGAACATCCTTTAGTTCCTCTCCCACATAGCGGATCTAGCAACAATATCACAACGGTTCGTTCAGCAAGGCTCTGCTAACTTGCTTCTAGAGCTCAGGAAATGGAGATGGCAGGACAAAGCCATTTTATGATTTTTCTACCACCTGACATGGTGGAACTGTACACAGGGCAGCATGGACAATAGCTCGTACAAGCCAACAGCTTCACATTCCTTTAAAGTCAGGAAGATGGAACTTAAAGCCCATTGCTGTTAAGTGCCAACTGTGCTAGTAACATATTGAAGCCAGGAAAACAGTTGACTGTTTTCTCTATGTTTAAATTTAACGTGAAGACAGCACTAATATGTACACAATCCTGTACGTGACATTACTGTAAAACCTGTACAATGACAGAGCCTACCATGCTCTTCCATAAAATTCTGCATTAGGAAGTTCTGCATGGATACAAAGGGGTAAAGTTTCATACAGTTCACTGAAGAGCAGCTTTTCCCCTTGAAACATTTAGGAGCTACACAGCTTTCAACTACCAGTGGGCCATGAGCACAGGAGCTAATATGACTCCAAGAAAATATCCACGAAACCAGTACAAATCTACTGACACAAATACAACATTACCTAGTGCTGGGAGCAGAGCTCTGAGTTACACACATGACCTGAAGTCAGTGTCAATAAAACCTATGGTCCACCCAAGTACAGCTTATCTGCTGTCTGTATTTCTCTACATACAGGATGCAGGAGAACAAACTGAGGTCCAAACCTAGGAACACTACATAGTTTAGAGTCAGAAGTCAATACAGTATTTTTCTAGTGACCTTACACTTATAATTACAGAATTTGCTAGTAAAATTTTGAGATCTGAAGAGAGGAAAAAAGCCAATTAAAAATGCCTGAAGAACAACTATTTAAAACAAACAAGCCATTGCTATTTCAAGTTAATGCAGACGTATGACAAACAAGCAGGAAACTCATTTTTGTTCTCTGAAGGTAAGATGAAATCAGAACTGTGAAGCCTTGCTAGTCAGAACCAAGCACTGCAATTCTGGAGAGGTAAAAAAACCCAAAGAAAACTCCCTGAGTACCACCATCTTCTGAGAGTTATTCACATCTGATAAATACTCGAGGCTCTGAGTCCTGCAGTTTCTGGCAATTCATCAAGAGACAAAGGAGAGGGAAGAACTCAGAAGCAGAGCATGATAGATTCTGGTGCTAGTTCTGAGACCACCACCAAGTACACAGTCATGACAACAGTGCACTGATGAACACGAGGAGCATGCAGGGAAAGCATGCAGCCTGTTTTGAGCACTGCTTCACTTCCATAAAGCAGTCTTGCAATCTCTGTACAGCAGCTACTGTGGCAGCAGTTAGAAGTACGCTGCTGTCCTCTGCTAGCTACAGATATACTTACCATACCATTTACAGCATGAGCTTTGTAAAAAAGATCAAGCCATTTCCATGTGTGGTGAGCAGACCACTTCAGAAGATTAAGTAGTATTTTCTCATCTTAACTGTGGGAATAGCTGGACGTCTTACATCAGGAGTAAGACTACACCTTTATTTTGCTGTAAAGTCTGCTTGCATTGATGTGTGCCATTAGGAGAAACACTGACAATATGTCAACTCATTTTAGCTATCAGACATTGAACACACTGATGAAACAGCAGAAGTGCACATCAGCTGGACTTTCACACACAAGAGCACATACACACAAACACATCGCTACTTGAAACAAAAAATAAATCAAGCATCACTAAAATCTCAAAGTATTAAACCTGTAACAAAAGAAACGTAGGGCAGATTAAGGTGCACACAGCTACAGCCTGAAGTCAAACTTGGGAAGCCTGATGTAGGACGATGAAGGTCTTAACTGAGAGACAATAGTAACCAAATTCCATTTTCAGCTGTTACATTACACAATCAAATCAGAGATTTAAAAACTCAAGTTAATAATTCTGATTCTGAACCAAGTGGACAGGACAGCTTGAGTTTGAATGCTTGTAGCTGTTGCACCTCAACCATTTGAGAAGCCCGCCTGTAAATAAAAAAGGTTGAAAAACCCACAGAATTTGTGTGGCCTTGAAAAGGAACAAAACCAACTGAAGTCCAAACTTAAAAAGAATTTGACATGCTGGTGGAAGAAAAGAAGGAATTAAAAAAAAAATAAAGTTAGTGAATTAAAAAAAATAAATCGTAGCACCAATCTGTGCCAACACGGACATCTGGCAATCTGTGGAATTCTAATTACCTCTTTACGCCATAGGCCATATTAAGCAAATTGTCCAGCCTGAAAAGAGAAGGAGGGTCTTTGGGTTAATGTCTCACAGATGGCAAGATCGCTCAATGGAACTATTATTAATAGCGTTCCATTTTCAAAGAAGAAATGTTCAACAAGTTTCCCACACATCTAAAGAGCCTAACAACTCGTGGCCTGCTTTGTTAAGTTTGAGATTGTGCTTAAGTTTCCACCACTGCATTTAAAGCAATTGTAATTCATCTACGGCCTTAACAAAAGCCCTACTTCTTCTGGTTTGATTTGGTTTTAACAAGATTGACTTCTGGTTTGTCAATTTAGACAGCATTATGAACTCTTTGCAAAAATTCAATTGCTCACCTTCCAAATTAACTTGGAAAGAATGACAGTACAAAATGAATGGAATTGAAGAAAATCTTGATTTTAGCTACTTTAACATAATCTCCCCACTAGTACACTTAGTAACAATCCTGCACAATACATCAGTTCAAATGACCACAAAATTTTGCAGAATGCATACAATCATCTGCTTTCTGTAAGCCCTTTACTGAAGCTGTAACTCTACAGGACACAGCTGCATTGTAAGATACACCAGATACGTGTTTGCTTTTAAATCAGTCAGATTACTTTATGATCTTCATTCATTAGCACTTAGCCAACGAAAAACTAGAATAACTTTTGAGTAATTTGGTAAAGTTACTCAGTTATGGAAGCAGTCACTTTTTTCCCCAAAAAGAGACTTCAACTTGAATGCCGAGTTGCCTGAAAGCTGTTACAAGAATAACGAGGACATCATGTATTGCAAACACTGGCTTATGTATCAGATGGAATCAGTATCTTCAGAATATATACAATAAAGTATCTCCAAAGATATCTGTGGAAACACATCAAGCACTAATACAAGGTCTCTTCACAGTAAGAGCAGATATCTTAGGCTAAATTTAATGATACTGCTGCCGACTGGAACAGACTCAGCTTTTTTCCTGCTACCAATCCATTGTCATTAACATCAAAGTCTAGGCTGCATCAAAACTGTAATAATACAGCAGAAAATAAAAGCATTACCAAAAAAACTGCTAAGAACAGGGTAGTCACTGCTCACTTGATTTTCAGTGTAACTTTGTTCTGTCCTCCCTTTTTCTATGAGGCTTCATGAGATCCGATAGTACAGTACTTCAGCTGTTTTAGTAAATACGACATGACTACTGCTGTCAGCAGATTTTCCTCCTCATTCTCCAGGAAAGAATATTTAATTTTACAAAGAAAATCAGGTCAGCCTACGCAACTAAAGCACATTTCTCCTGCACAGCACCTGCCCCACATCGTCATCGCTGGTAGAACTTCAGTTCTTTTCCAGGTAATTACCTGAATCTCTGAGCCTGGTGGTGAAGCGGTCCAGGGTAGCGTCTGTTGGGAGATTGATACAGCTGTGAAAGGAGTGCCTGGCTTGTTTTCTGGCTGGGGTTATTGGCAAACTTCACAGTAATTGGTTCTGTAGCACCGCTAGGCTTCTGGCCATTTAGTCCCTTTATGGCTTCTTCCGCCTCTATTCTCTTATCAAAACGGATAAATCCCACACCTCGAGAAACCCCTGGGAAGTAGAAACATGCAAACAAATGAATATATGCAGGAACAGCCTCATCTATGTCACGATGAAACAGAATGTTCATTTTGATTTAACACGCTGCTTGCAAATTAAGATAAGTCTTATTATAAAGAAAAATACCATTCCCCAGTTGTGTTCTTTGCAATTAGATCCTACAATGTTTAATATAATTGTTTCAAGAAAACAACACTGTTTTTTCCAACCCCTTATTAAAAAAAGCATACAAGTACAACTCTAAGCAGTAATAACTATAGATACTGGATATGTATTTTACACTAGAAAAAAAATCACATCGTCTTCAACCCAACCACCAGCAAGCATTTCCAATTTTACCATCTGGAAAAACATGCACATGTCAAGGAAACTTTTTTTGTTTAACCTGTGACTTGATCAACCAGAATCCGTGAGGTGATGATGCGCCCATATTGTGAGAATAACTGCTCTAATTCTTTCTGGGTCATTGTTTTCGGAAGGCCGCTGACATACAAGTTCGCATCTCTGATTGATGCTGAACTTGGACGGGCATATGACACCTGGGGATTTAAGAAAAAGAAATACCTGTTAGTAAGCAGAGCTGCCCTCTGCATTTTTAAGACACAGATTTTCTTCTCCACGAGAATAAACCTTACATGCAGTAGGCTGAACAGCCCTGGAGCCGAGGTGCTACCTGTCAAAAATCCAAACCAACCGAACCAGGAAAGGTTACAAGAACAAAGGCAGCTGGAGACTTTGACAACAAATGCAAGGGTTCTTTAAGCACGGGCACAAAATAGCTTTTGTTCAGAGGTAGATTAATGTGTGACCTCCTACACACTGCTTTGTAAATTTACCCCCATGAGCTGTGGGTGTGTGGATGATGTACTGCATCCAATGTGCAATAACCTTACAACACACAGCATCCTCAAGTTCTAGGGTGCTTTTCTTCAAGTACCTGAAGCAGATCAGGTTATTTTCAGAGTGATCTTTTGTACTCTTTGTGTTCTCATCCTGAGCTGGCAAAACCTGCTCTAGATGAAGAGCAAAGAGCTGGTAAAATTCAACTAAATGAACATCTGCTGAGGGAACTGCATACTGACACTCACTGTCATATCTGCAGTTTATCACAAGAAGTTCCCTTGCGTTGCAAGCCCAAACCAGACCATAAAATATTATGACCAAATAAACAAGAAAAGCAAGCTGAGGCACTGCATGTATGCCATCAAAAAATTATTAAATCATATCTTTCAACTGCTCTTCTGCCTACAAAAACACAAATCCAGAGCTAAAAGAAAAAAATCAGATCTATAAATTGTAATCAGATCTATAAATTGTAATATGTGCATGAAAAGCCCTCTGCACTGTTAAGATATACGCATTTAGCATAGCAAATTGAACAAGAACACTTCCCAGATAAGGCCTAATTGCAAGCATTCAGCACAGATCACGAAGAATTACTTTGCAGCACATCTGAAACAGTCAGATCTAAACCTGAATATTTTGTACTTCATCTTGATTTAAATATAAACAGATCAGTACATTCCTGCACCATCTCTTAAAATGCCTTCTGGAAGAAGCGAGGGGTCACAAATATAAATGCCTTCTGGAAGAAGCGAGGGGTCACAAATATAATGCTTTCAGTGATCAGCCTCCTCTCTTCCCCCAGCCTCAGCCCCAACACAAATGATGTCAAATGGATGTCTTTATGTGTTCTGTGTCAAAGAGTTGTCTTTATGCGCTCCACACCTAAAAATAGATGTTGACTCAACACAGAAAATGATGTGAATGACTAATATTTGCTTCCACTATCTTCTGCACATAATAGCAGACAAACTCAAGATTTTTCGTTTTAATATTTTTGGCAACTTCTTTGTAACTTGTACATTTATACGTAACCTTTTCAAACTAACATTTTGAGAGAAGGCTAAAAAGAGGAGGTAAAAAAATTTAGGGAAAGAGATGGAAAAAAAGATTAAATAAAACATTTGCATCAACTGAGACAAGCTCAGGGGAAGCACACAGGCCCAAGAAGCTGGAAAACACCAGACATGGTGCTTGAAATCAGTTTTGCTGCATGTGGTTTGGTGGCTTCATGCTCACCCCTCAGGCAAGTACTGCTGCATGGCCATGGTGTGATCTGGCACAGACCCTGGAAGACCAGCTCCCAGAACTGAGACCTGCTGCCAGGCACGAGGAACAGGAACAGGGTTGGCTTTTGAGTTTCAGAGCATGGCCAGATAGCAGGCTGGGGGATCAGCCCCACACCGGATGCAGTGCGTGAGGCTGAACCCATCTCCTGAGGTCAGAGAGGTGCCTGCTGCCCACAGCCAGGCTCACACCACAACATCAGGCCAAGCAGAGCCTCTCTGCACCCCGCGAGCGCCTTACCTTAAGAGGCTACTGCCAAGGTTCAGACACCTCCAGCTTAACCTGCTTCAGGAATAACAATTTAAAAAAACACTTAAGAGCCTCTCTGGAGCAGGGGTAGGGACCTTTCCTATTCCTCAAAACTGAGCTCTGCAAAATTAATAAAGTTTCTAGGAAAACAGCCAGAGGTTTCCTTTGGGTTTTCTCACTCTGGCACATTCATTAACCAAATGCCACATTACAGGGAAGATGAAAAGTACTGGGATATGCAAAAACACCGCTTCCCAGAGCACCGAGTGCCTGACATTTTATATATAAGTACATACACACACCTCTACGTAGGAAAAAAAAGGCTCAGCTCTTTTCTTGTGGGCTATGCAGAAACGCAGAGCTAAGAGCCTGCATGCTCAGAAATTCATCTTCTCTCAGTACATGTAAGACGCATCATCCCTCAGATCTAATTCTTATTTCCTCCTGCAATCAAACACTCGGGTTGCAGGGGAGCCTGGGCCAAAGAAAGAAGCTGCCAAAAGCAACTCAGCTCTCTTCAATATCAAGGAGAAAAGGTTGCAAGTTGAATGGACATGAGGCAGTAGTGTCAATTATTTATCTCCTTTTGAATCTTTTTCATCTTCCCTCTGAGGTCAGCCAATGACAAATCGATTGGTTACACCACACCATCCTGCTTTCAAGCTATTATTCAGTTAGTGCTGAGGACTGGATGTCTTCCCATGTATTAACTACCTAAGGAAGAAAACATCCATCCCAACCCTCCCTCCATCTGAGGAAAAGCAACGTATACTAAGCAAGTTAAAATGGGTGCCGAAATCAGCCCTCATTTTATCACTGAACTATAAAGGACTCAGGAAGAAGGCTGCATTAATTCTTTATTTTTACATTGCTCAGAGCAGTGTTAATGCTCTATAACAAAACGGCCCGTTGAAAAAAGAACATGGAAATCTCAGCCACCAAAAGAAATCAGCTTGAGTCGAAGCACACCAAACTGCTGCCTGAACTGGGCATTTCTCAGCATTCAAGTGACTGTCCATTTGTATGGGCATGATACTGCATTTCACTACATAAGATTATTCTTTGCTCCTCTGCAAGGAAGATAAAATACCATCTGATTCATTTTACAGCTTACTGACCTCCAATGTTAGTTACTCTATATACTTTAGAAACAATATCCTAGCTAGAAAACCTCTCGTCTGTGAGCAACCACCTATAAGGGCTTCTCTCCAGGATGAGCTGCCTTCTAAAGAGTCTAGGCTGCACTGCTCACTCCAAACACTACTAGGAAGATATGGGGTCCAGTATTTCATACCTTTCACTGTAATGAACCATTCTCTTTGCTCATGAGCAAAGAAGAATCTCCAAGTCAAAGCAATTACTTACCCTATTGATTCCCTACTATTTCCCAATGCAGAAAACCTTTTAAAAAAATTTCTAACCTCCAGACTTAGCATCATGTAAATCAACGCAGTCTGGTCTTTCCAAGTCAGAGAGCCCACAAAGGCACCTAGAGGCATGAACGCATCCCATTTGTCTTCCAAGGCATGGCTCTGGATGTTATCAGCCACCATTTCAAGAATGAAGCTCCTAACTGTTTCACTGCTGCTTCTCTTCAAAGACTCCTTCAGCTCAAATGCTAATCCTGGACTTCTCAAAGTTTTCATGAAACAAACCAGAGTGACCTCCTGGCTGCCGCCTGCTCCAGAGAGGACATCACTGTTAAGTGACACCCTGGGCAGCCTTCAGAAAGTCCTGTATCACATCTTCAGAAGTACTGAGCTTCGCTGTGACCTTAAAAACATTTCTGAAAGGCTTTGTTTTGCCTGCATGATGAGCTCTCAGATGTAGGATCACTGGCGTGATTGTGGGGTGAGTCACTCAGTTTTCATGCAAGGTCCAACTCCGTAAAATGGGGACAAACCTGTCCTGTGCCCACCACCTCCTATGGCACTGATGCGCACTGGAAGCAATTTAACAGATGCAGTTAGAGCACACAAGCACAGTCTCCCTTCCTGACCATGACATAATGCCAGACAACTCACTACAGCCAGAAGACACTGTTTCCTCACAGCCACTCATCCATGCCTCAATCCTGTGCCAAAACTCAGTGAGAATTAACTTTGTAAGGACTCACCCAAGAACTAAGATCTGGAATATCTTCACGTCAGAGGCACTACTTCCTCTCCTGTTCCTAGGCCTGGGCTGAGGATGGCAGTGGAGTGACAGGGGCTTTTGGAGATTGACAATGCACTTTGCCACATAGCAATTCAATGCTGTTTTGCTGGGACTCACGATTGCTGATAAGATGCAACAGTCTATTCCAACACTTTAGGAGAAGCATCCACAGATGACAACCTACAGGCACTCTGGCTGTATCAAGAGCTGGGCTAAGAAATAATTGCTCCAGCTCTGCAGAATGAAAAGGAGCTCATTGGCAAAACTGAAGCAGTTAAAAAAGACATTTCAATTAAGAGCAGATGCACAAAACTACAGGTAAAGACTCTCTGGTGCCCGCTGAAAGCAGCAGAGCCAAATCTGAACCTTCAAATTCACCCCTGAAAGGTCCTTTGAGTCACATCATCGCTGCAGGCAAAGGGATTTGTTAACCAGCATTGAAGTCCAAGCAAGAATGCAGACAGAAGCCCTTAAAGAGCAAAAACCTCAAACTTCGTCACAGCTTTCCAGATCTGAACAATCCTTCCATCCGAGGCTTTATCCAAGTGCTGCAGTTGCAGCATATGCCTCTCGTGAGGATTCTGACATGCAGAAGCTCGGGATAGGAGATTACCTTGATGACCAAAAGAGGCACAGAGCAGCCGTATCCCAAACCCACAGCTGCACATCCCGTACCCTGAGTTTTCAGAGAAGGAAGGTGTGCACCACACGCTGCAGCTCCGTGGAGAAGCACATGCAGACCTTCACAACACACAGCCAGCCCTACTGTCCCTGTGCTCAGCTCCACAGCCCCGCTCAGACCCACCACCAACAGCTGTTCCTTCCACAAAAGGAACCAGAGGCAGCTGATCTTCGGTTATCCTACAGCAACAGGACGGGCTGCAGCTTTGCAGAGAGTTGCAGACAGAGCCTGAATGCTGTAGAAATACCTGGCCTTTAGAGAAACACCAGATGAACCAAGTAACCAAGTAGTAACACTGTTACTTCACTTCCAGAACATACAGGAGTATTTTCTCCCTCAGACCTACTTGCTGTATTTTCAACTACCACCTCCCTGTCCTATTGATCAGAACAGATTAAAGCAGAAGTAAACATATGAATGACAGAAAAATAGTAGCAGTTCTATCCCTTATTTTTTCACTGAACTGAAAATGAGAATAACCTGAGACACACAGAAGCAGCCTCTGACCAGAAAGGAATATGCTATTTCTTTGGTATTACGTCCACTAAAGCTTTGAGATAGAACCAAAAGGAATTCAAGGCTCACAGAACCCAGCTCCCTTCTCCCCTCACACAGGGTTCTTTCCACTCCAGCAGTTGGCACAGCACATTACCTGCTCCTGCGGGGGAAGAACAAAACAAACCTATTTCTCAGGCAACAGAGAAAAGGAAGGAGAAGGGGAAATAAGACTGCACTTCAGGTGGTCAGCTGCTATCTTTTTATTTCAAACCTGCTTTCAGAATTCTGTTCTGCCCTTGTTCCAGCATCCCCAACGCGAACCAGGTCACCTGAATCACCAGTAAATAGCAGAACACCTCCTTCATGTCCTTTCAGATGCTGCCCGATTTTTTTCAGGGCAGCGTAGGATTTAAGCAGCCTCTGCCCCATGCACAAACACTGTTTTCTCATATTTGATGCAACTGAATTGCGAGGCAATCTTCAACAGCAGCAGTGACCTTTCATACGCCTTTATGGATGGGCAAATTTAATTTCTAAAAATAGATTCAATTTCTGGAATATACATTTATTTCAACACACGCTGCATCTTCCCTCATTCTAGATTATTTTGTAGAACTATGCCAACCTTTAGCTGTAAAAATGAAGTGAAGCCCTTTTCCTCCCCTCACAAAATGAGGGTGCTATGAAACAGCATAAGCAACACATGCCCTGCAATCAGCTGAGGAGGAACATAGCATGTATAACCTATTACCACCGAACGCATAACACTTCCCTCAATGCTTGCTTTCCCCAAACAGATTTCTGCAAATAGTCACCTCTCGACTTTGACTTGAAAGGGCATCACTGACTTAAATAAAATGCACATAAATATTTTAGCTGCTTCAGTGAAAAGGGATTATTTATTATAACAATGAAATAAGAAAATGCGTTTCATTCGGTTATTTTAGTCTGCACATCTGAGAGCAGGCTGTGCTGGGCTGTTCTGCTGATCCTGCTGGAAGCCAGATCCTCCGGAGCCAGCATGGCTGCTTTGCAACGCATCAGGAGGAAGAGAGAACATTCGGCTGCCACGAGATGTCACAGAAGTGGAAAGGACAGGATCTGGGGACACACGCAGAACTGGAAGCTATTGAAATTATTTTTTTTCTTCTCGTCAACAGGAATTAAGGCTTATGGGGGTCAAAAAACAAGAGCAAATGTGACCCCCTGGAGCCAGCTATCACCCAGCCCAGGCACACAGACACAGGATTGCTGAAGCAAGGAGATGGGAGGGAACAGCCAGCAGGGCCAAGGTGACCTTGGGGTGCGGAAGCGATCCATGTCTCTAAAAGGCCTTGCACAGCTTATTTATGTGAACTTGCTATCCAGGCAGCTCTCAGACAAAATGCAGCTGAAGAAGTGCTAGTGCAGGCTGCAGCTATCCAGCACCCACAGACAGGCAGAGGCCGAAGGCTCAACCCATCCATGAGCACTGCACTACGGAACAAAAGCTGAGCCCTGCTCACAAGGAGAACGGCATAAATTCATGCTCACTACTTTTCCCATTCAATGTTATTTTAGTGTTTGAACTTATTTTTAGCCTACAGAGCGATATGCCACCAAGTCCCTCTCCATATATCATCTGAGAAATTTTTTTTTAATGCATTGGAGGTGAGTCTTTAGTAACTGTAAGGGCGTCTTAGCTAGACTAAAGTAACGGCTCTAGTAATGAGGCAGAGGAGTTCCAGGAGATAGCATGCTCCAGAACCTGGCAGTGAACCCCACTGCACTGCAGGGCAGTGCTGCACAGGGAGCAGGTGAGCAGAACATAACAGTGCTGAGCACAGCTCTGCTGCTCCAGGCGGGGACATGGCTGGTGGCACGGGCACTGCCAGAATGGGGAAAACATGGTTCACTGCGCAGTTAGCACCAACACAAGAAATCTTCCTTCTCTACAGCAGTGCTAGGGAGGCAGACTTCATCTAGGAAGTTTTTTTTAAATGAGCAATGATACAACTCAGAAATACAAAAAGCCATGGGTAAGGTAAGGTAGCCACACAATTCTACAATTAAGAACAGGGTTAGAGGCAGCTGGTTTGGTGTCCCTCTGTACAAAGGTTGGCTACTTCAAGAGATTCCTTTGGTTTGGTTGTTGGTGACAGTGTTAATATTTAAAAGCATCTTAAAGAAGTCTATACAGTTCCTTCCAACCCCTGACAAAGTTACACAGCTCCTGTACATGTAGGTTAGGTTGATCTCTGCTTATTAGATTTAATGGCTTTCAGGGGTCCAACAAAATGTCGCATGCTCCAAAGAAGTCTTGCAGCTATTAATAAGCATAAAACAAACTCCAATCTAATAAACTAATCAGTATTGATAAAATTTGAAGGGAATAAAAAAAATAAAGGAAAAAATATTTGGTAAGAAATTCTGGCATAATAGGTTTCTGCGTAGCACAAAAATTTCATTACTAAAGATAAGCCATTAAGCCTTCCCTTTTTAATTCTGCAATTTAATTAAGTGCATTCATGAGAAATGTAAAATCGTTTCAGGAGTTTTTGGAGGTTATTTTTAAGCTTACATGGTTCTGTAACTGGAGTACCAAATACAACAGCATTGCTCTGGCTCACAAAAATAAGAAATGTACAACACAAAATCAGTACTTAGGACAAGAAATGCAGCACCTTTGATAAAGCTGAATAGTGTTCAAAATATAGATCAGTTTTTAAAGATCTAAATCAAGTGCAGCATTAAAGCAGCGCTAAGTTCTTAATGAAGTTTTTAAGACACAGTAAGAGTTCTCCAAATATTTTACTTTTCCTGACAATGTAAGAGTAATCTGGAGAGCAACTCACTACTCAGCTTTTAACTGTAAGCAGAAGAAAGTGCTGAGTCCAAGCACACATTTCCACCTGCAGTGGTAGATAAGACCGGAGATTCTGCTGCTCTGCCATGTATTTTCCTGTAAATTTTTTTCTCAATTTAACTTTTCAAAATCAGGTGGAGAGCACCCAGACATACAGCCTGCATCCATACCTATGGGGTGGACCTGTCTGGTCTAAGGAAGGCCTGGAAGGAGTAAGGTCCATGCAACTGCTATGCTTAAAGCTCTCAGAACCTCTGCTCTTGACCGGCCAGAGCAGGGAAAGCTTGCTAAAAATGATCCTCAGTGATGCTAAGGAACTAATAAAGACACTTTTGCCTTAAAAAAGGAACCTCACCCTTTAAGGAGAAAAAGAGTACTGACCATATGCTACTTTCTCTAAGATAAACTGGTTCATGCTCTATGGATGCTTTCAAAACAAAATTATTCTATTTTAATATTCTGTAACGTTTTCAGCTTTAAGCACAACTGAAATACAGAAGAATGTTAAGAAAATGTTACAAATCTAAGTTCAGCATTCTCAAATATCTACTTCAGTTTGAATCACATTTGCTGCTTTGTCCCCTTCAGTTTTTTATTCATATGTCCTAAGCTGCACTATTTATCAGATCTCGGGATGGAGAAATCTTCTGTAAGCCTTTCTGAAACAGCTTCATCAGCCAGGCAGCAAACAACACGACTGTAGAAATTTGCTTTTCTTGTGAGACCACTAAAAGAGGTCATTGAATAACTAATGGTCTATTACAACAATGAAATGAGAGACTTCAGTGGGATCTCTAATCCCTCCAGCTTTTAAAAGAGTAAATCAGACTAAGGATGGGGAAATGGAGATTTTTTTGAGAATGAAGTATCCGAACTTGAGAGATGCATCTTCAATACCTGCTAATGACACAAGCGTCACTGAAGACTAATTCCATGTGAAGGTACTTCCCATTAAGACAAAGGAAAATGTGCAAGTTAATTACAAATACGTGGTCCTGTATTTTACATCTGTTTATGGTAACAGCATCACTGCGGCTGTTCTATTCTACATTTAAATCTCACTGCAACATTTTAAGGGAGAGGGAGTAACAGGAGGCTCCTTAACAATAGCTACAATTTTAGAGAAGAGATTTCATCTCCTGCACATCTTTTCCCTGTTCCAAGAAGGAGCTTGTTAGCTGAGTGGCCCTCGCAGTGACAGATTGAAGTAGTGGTGAAATTGCCAGAAACTGTTTCAACTACTTTATCTTCTTCCTGAATTGTGCAAAAGGCTTTTTATATTGTCTTACCTTTATGGTTTTGGTCTGGAGTCTGAGTCCATTTAAAGTGTTAATGGCTTTCTCTGCATCCTTTGGATCAATGTAGTTAACAAATCCATATCCTAAACTCTGCCCTGTTGAAACAAAAAACAAGAAAAAAGGATTGAGTGTTTCGTTTTTTTTTTTTTTTTGGAAGCACACAGTTTTCAATATCATGGTCAACATTTTCTTCACTGTTCCTTTCACCACTGCTATCCCCTATGGTCTGTATGCCATTCTTCACTACTTCATTACCACCCAGAACTTTTTTTTTTTTATCAGCTCCTACTGTTAAAGCTTTTGCTCTGAAGATCCTACTTGCAAAACAGAAGGAAGCAAGCCCCACCCTTCTCCAAGAGGTCACTGTAAAGGTACAAGGCTTGACATCAGCAAAATTACATAAGAGTTCCCAATAAACCTAACTGGTTGACTTGCCAGAACAGTAAGGAGGCCACCACTTCAAAATTATAAACACACAAATGCTACAGTTAATAAACAAATCTATAGGTGTTTGAAAATGCAAGAATTAGGAAACAATGTTTTCACATCAACCTTTAGGCAGCTGACTGGGAAGCAGACAGCCGCCTTTACATCTCAGTTCATTGCTCAGCGAGCAGCCAGGAAATGGGAGGAGAAAGGACAGTTCTCGGATAAAAGATTGCATTAAAGCTTCCCTCGGCACATATAAGATGACAGCAAAAGCAAAACAGTACAACTGCTGCTGTGCATGGGATGGCGGGAGCCCGTTTCAGCAGCCAAAATCATTCCAACAGCTTCTGTTTTTGCTGTTTGACTAGCCAAACCTTGCTCGTGTGTGCAGCAGGAAGAGGAGACCCAGTTAGGAACTCCAGCACCAGTGAGGCAGCAGCAGCACGAGAACCTCATTCACACAGCACAGGAACAGAGCAGTGCGTCCGCAGGGGGCCATGGAAGCCCTACCAAAGACACCTCTTCCCAGTCCCCAGGAATCACACTGCAGCATCGATCTGAATGCAGTAGAAGAACACAGCTTCCCCCTCCTTCCTCTCACACCTCCTCCTGAAGTTATTTTGCACATTTGGAAAACACAGTAATTGCTGTGTTTTTCCTTAAGGCACACGTACTTAAGACCCCACAGGCACAGATAAGCTCACCCCAAAAGCCACACGAGCCCAAGCAGGAAGCAGTGCCTCCTGCACCTTGGCCATGTTGCTGCCCATGTCAGCAAACCTAGCAAAAAAGGGGAGTGGGAACACCCCCCTAAAGCAGTGCCCTTGGACTTGGCTTGCCAGGAGGTTTCCATCCGCACAGCAACAACCCCAGCTCCCTCTCACTGGAAGAAAGCAGTGGCTGAAAAAGCAGCCGCACACGGAGCGCCTCGATGTACCCCGCAGGCACGGACTCTGCCTCCTCAGCACAAGGCTTTGTTTCTTTGTCTCCTGGACTACAAAAAAAGCATCTGTGTTTTTCTCAGACACCACCAAAAATACAGTGCTTGCTGTACCACAAATAGGGAGTGCTTCTGTCTTACAAAATCTGATCAAAGCACTAAGAGCTGCTAACCACGCTACGGAATACCTTAAAAATCCATGGAAACACTGCAGCTCGTTCCTTAAGTGCCCACATGCAGGCGTATGGGTAAGAAATGGCTGTCTTAAACTACAGTATATTCAGGGAGCAATTTCATCCAATCAATTTAAACTTCAGACAAAAGTCTAAAAACATACCCAGTCTTCTTAGAGAACTGAATTAATCCCAGCAAAAAAAATAATTCTTACCTGATTTACATAGCATTAACTAAAAATGAACTGAAGGCTGCCTGAGCAGAAATACGGAGCAGATGCTCCTCCTGCTATGCCTTCCTCCTACTGCCTGCCCAAGATGCTCAATACAGCCCTAGCTCCTGTGCATCTGAATCTACCTTAACGCATTTTGCTTGGTACACTCCTAGGGAGAAGGGAGCCCTTCTCTAGGAAGCTACCCTTGTTTTGATAGAAGATAAAAAGGATCAGGGCCTGGGTACCCCAAGTCCATCTGCCTGCTCTTCCATCTCTCACACACTGATCCTCAGACACACGCAGCTAACACAAGGCTGGACAAGGTGCTGGGACTTGTGTCAGTCCAGACACAGGCTTCAGTGTCCCACCACTGCTGTACCATGCTACGTGCAAGGACTGTTAATACAGGAAAACAGTAACACAAATTTCAGGCCATTCAATCCTCTCCTTGGACTTCTCTGGTAACACTGTTCAAGTTCCGGTATCAGCATCTCCAGTTCTCACTACCACTGGAAACATATACAGCATTTTGTCCAAGGCAAAGGATACTAACATGAAGAAAGCTGTTTGTGTGCATGTCTGTAGAACATGGTTTAAACAAAACAATCACTGTCATAAAATTTTGCCTAGACTAGTAGGTTCACAGATATTTAATCTTCATACTTCTGAACATCATAGAATATGTAACTACTGACAGTTGAAAGTTTGTTATCCATAAGCTATCCATTGTGTCTTCATATTAAGTATCTTAACTACTTCAATGGCTGTTCTAAAGAAGTTAGGACGTGTGTACTCAGCACTCTGAACACTGAGTTCCTGGTAATTAAAGAAAACCCAACAACGTAAGATAAAAAGCCCAAACCTCACAGCCTTTGCAGTCCGAATTCTTGGTGCCGTTGCTTCAATTAGCAAGTCCCCAACTGCTGCATGAGGCCATATGCTTCACTTTGCAACAGTGAAGCTGAAGGGAAAAATGTCTTTCCATTAAGAGCATGCCTCTTCAGAAAGATCTTTTGCTTGGACTACTTTGTGCTTTCAGGTATTTGGTATACAGCACATCTCTCCTGAATGCCACTGTTTAATGAAGACAGACACATCTCTCTCAGAAAGAAAGAAATTGGAAAGAAAATAAACCTAGAACCAAAATCATTTTGTGCAGAGCTTTACGACTGCTGGCAGACATCATAAAGTTTTACTGTGCTAAACATTTACAGCTAAGCAGCAAAGAAAGATATACCCAGCTAAAAATATTATTTTCAAATTACTCTCAGGAGCAACACACCTTATGTCAGACAAAACAGACTCCAAAAATGAATAACTAAAAACTGTTACTGGGAAAGAGTTTTATTTCTTCTCCATATTCAGGAATATGCAAGTAAGAACTTAGGTTTTTATCCATCTCCATTACATATTCCTATTGCATGTACTCAAAAAGGGCAACATTTCTTAGGACGCAATCTGGCACCACAAAGCAGGCAGCTGGACCTCTCAGTGGGATGCCACACAGACACTGAAGTTCATTCCCATGCTACACTTCCCAGGAACAGCACCGTAAATAGTAAATATTTTCTGTGATTTGGAATCTAATAGGTCACTGCATGCTGAGATTCAGTAGGGTACTCAAGAGATATTTCCAAACGAACCTAAAACACCACTTTACTGTAGTACTATTACCACTACTCTTTCATTACTTGTGAAACTTGTATAAAGTAAGTAGCAGACCTCCTGTGACGAGGTAACAAATAGGTCCAGTTAGTGCTAGAAGTGATCCAAATTTCAGTGCCTTAAAATAAACAGTCAAAAAACCCAAACACGAAGCCAAGTCCAAGCCTGCAGTGTAAATATTCACTATTTCAGAAGGCTTCACTTCAGAGTTGGAAGCCACTGAGATCACAATGAAATCAGATGAGCAAGGTGGGAAAATAAACATAACCTGTTCAGAACATTCAACCACACACCCTCAAAACCTGCAACTATTAAGGAAACCATACCAAGGCTTTCAAGGCCTGAACTTGCCTGCCTCTACCACACAGTCTGCTTGAGCCAATGCCACATTTGTACTTGAAGAGATAAAGGGGAAACAGATGGCAACGTAAGTTACAACAGAAATACCAGCGGAAATTGAGGTAAATAAAGAGCCCAAAGAAACTCCTGGCAAGGAAAGTTCAGAATAACCCTCTTTTTTTAAAAAATAAAACTAAGAAGCTGCAGGGCAAAGAGACCTTCAAACTAGCACTGACTCACTAGCGGATCTTAATAGCAGTGGGGCAGAGAGCAGATGTGTTATATACAGCTAAAGAAGCAGTATGAAGTACAACCAGCAACTCAGGTGGACAGAAAGCAGCTGCTCCTAGCATTGTTCACGTTTAAATGAGATGACTGTGCTTCTTGTACAAAACAGCCCTCAAAACTAAGAGGCAAATGACTCGTTATTTTCAGTAATTCTTAAAGCACTAAGCAAATTCCAGGAGCTTGAAGGAAAGAATTCTATTTCTGAAATAGAAAGAGGTTGGACTGAATGACCCAAGTAATTACAGGTCCATCAGCCTAGTGCTGAGCAAGGCAAAGTTACAGAACATTTGATACTGGACTCTAATAATAAAGAATTAGTGAAGGGTAATATAATCAGTGTCAATCAAATTAGCTCTACGGAAAATAGATTCTGTCAAACTGAACTGACATCCTTCTTGATGGGATTACAAGTTGGACTTATAAATTTTAAGAATGTCAATTTAGTAGCATTGATAGACTCAGTCTTCTATAAAGCACTTGATTTGTTACTGCTTATTAGTTGACTAAAAATTAACATGGTACACATTAGATGAATTAAGAAATATCAGCTGACATTTCAAACTAGGAGTTGTGAATAAGAAGTCAACAGAAAGATGCTTTCCTGTCCATCTCCCTCTGTAAACAGATCTTGGCCTTGAACTGTTGAAACATTTTCGTTGACAAGTGGAAAAAAACAAATGCCTGGCTTCAGAATGTTGCAAACAGCAGAAGACCAGGATGAGAGGAAGTGAACCAAGAGGACAAAACTCAGGTACAAAGCAACTGAAGCTCCCCAAAGCATTCCAAGTAGCCACATACCTTCAGACAGCGCACACTCAAGATCACAGCCCTGCAAACCACAACCCTGAGCGTATTTCCCAAGCACAAATTTGCAAGGGAAGCAAAAGACTCAGAAATATGGAGATAATCAACCACAACGTCAACCTGCAATGCTGCCAATAGGGTTACAATGATTCTTTGCGGTATAAAAACCCCACACTTGAATAGGGAAAAAAAATAGTTGCTGTAATCCAATTTAGTTGCATGGTTAACTGCTGTTCACCAGA